GCGGCTGCCGAGAAAACGCTCCACTGCCCGGCCCTCTGCCCCCTTTTCACATTTCTAGCTACCGGCGGCGATGAACCGCGCTGGGTTTCTTTTATTCAAGAGTTCACAGCTTCTCCTGCACAAGTGTTTTCCCTGTACCAGGAACAAGTCCTCAGCAAAGCACTGAGTTTATTGGCTATAAAGGGCAAAAGCAATCAGCCTTCAGATAGGCAAACCATCATTTTAGACACTTGTATGATGGGATTCACAGAAAACCCCACACCACAAGAAAGCCCACTGCGTTTGATTCACGCACCGATCACACGTAATTTCTGTTGCTTAGGACCAATATTAATCCTACCTAGACAAACCAGAGAAGTCAGCTTCCTCCTCTTCGCACCTCTCATCCAGCTCCTTCAGAGCAAGCGTGACGTCCTCCTCGCAGATGGACTCCGAATAGCTCTCGGGAGCTGCTGCCTCGGCCAGGTCCGGGGCCTCTTCCAGCTCGAGAGACTCCTGGCAGACCAGACCGTCCTGCTGCTCTTGCAGGAGATAGGAGCCGGTGTCTTCGCTAGCGGTGCTGACCTGCTCATCCCTCACTGCTGAGCTGCCTTCCTGTGAATCAAACGTACTGCTGTTACTTTTAGTGGCAGGGCTTACCTAGTCTTATCAGTTTTTATTATAGTAAAGTAACAAGAGTTGTAAGGGATTGTTTACAAGCCTCCATTTATACTTTAATCACTCAGCTCTTTGTCTGAGCTGAGTGAATATCTCCTTCTCTGGAGATATTCAAGACCCGCCTGGACGCGGTGCTGTGCAGCCTGCTGTAGGTGACCCTGCTTCGGCAGGGGGGTTGGACTAGATGACCCACAGAGGTCCCTTCCAACCCCTACTATTCTGTGATTCACAGAGTTTCACTTAAGCAAAGACAGGCAGTCCATTTGTAATGTTTATAACTTAACACGAATATCGTAGAATATGACAAATTATTTCTAGCAAGGACAATTTTTCAAATACGCTCAATTAGATCTGCTCAGAGAATTTTGCCAGAAAAATATCTGCAAGTAGCCTCAAACGTATTTAGATCACAACAAACGCAACCCAGGCTTCCATATTTTACTTTTCTAGGTAAGGGCCTCCTGCTTGCCTTTCGGGGCTGGCACCAGTACAGACCATTTCTTCCCCTTCCCACTCTCCATGCCAACGGGTGTCTAAAGCATAACAGAGCAACAGCATAAACAGGTAAACAACGGAAAAGGGACACCCCACTGCTTTTATTATTCTGCCATTACTGCTAACACGGGGAGCTTCAAGGGTTTAACCCTGAATCTCTAAATCACAGAATCACAGAATAGTAGGGGTTGGCAGGGCCCTCTGGGGGTCCCCCAGCCCAACCCCCTGCCCAAGCAGGGTCACCCACAGCAGGCTGCACAGCACCGCGTCCAGGCGGGGCTGGAATATCTCCAGAGAAGGAGACTCCACAGCCTCCCTGGGCAGCCTGGAAAAAAAAAACACCCTCAGAGGGAAGAAGTTCTTCCTCCTGGTCAGCTGGAGCTTCCTCTGCTTCAGTTTGTGCCCATTGCCCCTTGTCCTGTCGCTGGGCACCACTGAAAAGAGCTTGGCCCCATCCTCCTGACACCCACCCTTAAATGCAGACTTTCGATCACTGGCAATTAGAAAGAGACAATGATTAAACTCAGGTAGGTAATATCAGAATGACCTCCCTTCCCCCTTCCTCCATTAGCGTTATTATACTCATTAACTTCACTATATTGAACACAGGAATTCAGATTTAGTTAATTCACGATGAATCCATTTGAAACCTTTTACTGGATTTTTCTGTGGAATAAAAATAAAAACTTTCCCGTACTGGCTATTTCCTAAAGGCACAAATTATCACACGTTCTCATTCTTAGCGTGCTGGTCTTCCTCAACGGGCGCATCCAAAGGTGGTCAGCAAACCTCCGGACGGCTTCTGAGCACACACATCACTTCATGGCCTCCCTCCGCCTAAACAGACCCTGAGCAGACCCTGAGCAGACCCTGAGCAGACCCTCTGGCAGACCCTGAACAGACCCTGAGCAGACCCTCAGCAGACCCTCTGACAGACCCTGAGCAGACCCTGAGCAGACCCCCTGACGGCTCCGTAACTGTACGGGCGTTAGGAAAGAGAGTTCAGCTCCAAGCAGAGCCGTCCCAGTTGCGGTCACAGTGACCCTGCCCCCACCTCACGCTGACTAGGGCCCTCCTCAGCGTGCCACCGCCGTCACCAGACCCAACGAGCAGCCTTGTGCCGAAGGGCTCTTTGGCCAAAGCGATGCCTGGAACGTTCTGGCCCAGAAGAGCCGCTCGGCCGCGCTGACAGCGAAGGCACGCGGGGACGCAGGGCACTCCGACACCGCCAGGGCAAAGGAGCTCGGATCGAAGCAGCGGTCGGGCTGTTGCTACTACAGGTGCTCACACACGCTACAGAGCTGCGCTGCTCACGACTGGTAGATGGACATACGGGGGATACACTCGTAGAAAATATTTAAGTGCTAATTACTCGTTAATAAGTTTACTGCTAAGTTCGTCTTCACAGTGCCACCACTCCTGATTTCTGAAGTTTTCTGTGTAACATTGGACACGTCTTTACTACCAACACGAATGCTCTTTAAGTATCTTAAAAATGTGATTTATATAGTTGAAAATTCCATATAATGTAAGGAAAACTACCTCTAGTAAACCATTCTGTCATAAATCCACAGCGCGAGTAAAATAGAGACTCATTTTAGCCAGAAACTTCCCTATACTTCAGCTTGTAAAACTTATTGTCCAAAACTGAAAATATTCTTCTAAGCTAGCGTGTAAATTCCCAGCTGGGATGCGAAATGTCCTTCTTGCAAAGATACCTGCTACCACTGGGAATCCGCCAAACACATTTCCGTGAACTATTTACTTCACTCTTCAGCATCCCTACCAGAGAAACAAGAAACTCAACTGCATCTACCCAGCACACCCGCTCCTTGGGATACAATGGCTTAAATTTTTTATATTTTACCTTCGACAAATGTTGATACATATTTATTTACACTAAACCCATTTTGATAACTGACACCTGGCACGCAATGAAATGCCTGTGTTGAAAGAGTGATATCTGCAGCACGTCAGCACAGCAGGAACCCAACCGCGCTACGCTGGGAGCTGTGCAGGGTAAGAACTGAATAATGTAAGAATGGAGAGAGCCCAGCGCAGGGCTACGAGGATGGTGAGGGGACTGGAGCATCTCTCCTACAATGAGAGGCTGAGGGAGCTGGGCTTGTTCAGCCTGGAGAAGAGAAGGCTGAGAGGGGACCTTAGAAATGCCTACAAATATCTGCAGGGTGGGGGTCAGGAGGATGGGGCCAGACTCTTTTCAGTGGTGCCCAGCGACAGGACAAGGGGCAACGGGCACAAACTGAAGCAGAGGAAGCTCCAGCTGAACACGAGGAAGAACTTCTTCCCTCTGAGGGTGACGGAGCCCTGGCCCAGGCTGCCCAGGGAGGCTGTGGAGTCTCCTTCTCTGGAGATATTCCAGCCCCACCTGGACGCGGTGCTGTGCAGCCTGCTCTGGGTGACCCTGCTTGGGCAGGGGGTTGGGCTGGGTGACCCCCAGAGGTCCCTGCCAACCCCGACCATTCTGTGACTCTGTATAAAGGCACTCTCGGAATAAAGCTGAGTTCCAGCTGCGCAGGTACCACAAGCCAACAGCGGAGAAGACAGAAGTTCTGTCGGGGTGAATTTAATGCTGTAAAATCCCAGCTTATATATCGCTTCTCCCTTCTGAAATCTTAACATGAACCAATGTGGAAAAAAAGAATCCAGATTAAGCGCTCCTCCTCACCCGAAGTTCTGCTGGAACAAGACCTCATGTCGTGGGCAAGCAGACCAAGCACTAACAGAACAATTTCGTTGACAACCTAAGCACGGGCGCTACAAAAGCTGAGACAATTTCTCAACTGCAACGTAACCAATTTTTCAAAAAAGCATATAGATAACCACCATGGAAAAACGTGGGGAAAAGCTGCTTTATGGAAGCCACAATCTGACACTTTGAGAAGGTGAGGATTCTCCCACAGGAAACCAGGCACCCGCACTTTCCCTTCGCTGTACTCTAAAGCAGGTCTTGTGTTCTTCGCGTTCCCTTCGTTAGACCTTGGCTAGGTGGGGGATAAAAAGTCCACCTAAACCAAGCCACTTCAAGAAAAAAAACCAGTATAACCAGGGTTTAGCTACAGCTGCTAAATATTGTAGGAATTGTGGCAGATGAGAGGTCTATTTTAAATTATTTTAATTTGAAATTACTCAAAAGATTTAAAAACCCAAGAAACTGAAGTACTCACAGGTTTGCAGGCGGCCATTAGCTTGAAATCTGGCTCAGTCCACACAGGCCTTTCCAAAAAAGTGTACCACTAGCATCTGTGCTCCTTTCTAGAGGATTCCTTAATGGAACCAACTGCTAACACAGCTGGCCTGAGGTTTTACTCCCAGATAGCACCGATCACATTAACCCAAAGAAAGCAAAAAAAAAAAAAAAAAGGGGGGGGGG